AGTGTTTCGTCTTACTCCATCAGTATCTTCTAGAGCAGCTATTGTCATAGAATCATTAAGGCTGGACCTCCAAGACCATCAAGTCCAACCTTTGACCAAACACCACCATGCCACCTAAATCCTAGCACTAAGTGCCACAACCAGTTGTTTCTTATGCACCACCAGGGATGGTGACTCCACCACTTCCCTCTGCAGCCCATTCCAATGCTTAACCACATGTTCAAAAAGGTGAAAAAATTCTTCATGATAACCACTGTTGACTTTCTTTGATGCAGATGTGGCCTTTTCCTCTCATCCTCAACACTCTTTATTATCTTTCACAGTGGTGGCTAGATTGAGTTCTAGCTGAGCTTTCACCTTCCTGATTTTCTCTCTACATGACCCAACGACATTCTTGTATTCTTCCTGAGTTGCCTGTCCCTTCTTCCAAAGGTCAGAAACTCTCTCTTTTTTTGTTTTTTTTTTTTTTTTTNACCTGAGTTTCAGCAAAACCTCCCTATTCAGTCAGGCTGGTTTCTTTCCCACTGACTCATCTTTTGGCACATAGGGACAGCTTGCTCCTGAGCCTTTGAGATTTCCTTCTACCTGAATCCCATTGTTTTTAAGGAGTTCAGTATGACACTAGCAGCTTCCTCTTGAACATATAATATTCAGTGCCTAATTGGAAACATGAGATACCAAATACATTTTAAGAAAGAATATCTATAAAACAAAAGCAAGCCTTTCAAAGTTTAATAGCTGCAGAGCCAGAATATGCTGAGCCCTTGCTTGGCAGGAGCAGGGAGGATTAAGCTCAGCTGCAGGCTGTTTGCAGACCCAGACAGGGAGCACTAACTCAGCTCATGGTAAATTATTGGCTCTAAGATTCACTCTTAAACCCCCAACTTCAGATCTGCTATTGTATTATGACAGGGAAAGGCAGTTACTCTAAATACAAACAAGCTCAGTTTTAGTGATGATTCCTGTTGTGAACCCTAGGGCTATCCTGCATCCTCAGAAATGTCATTTCTACCCCACCACCATACGCCCAGTAGCCCAAGCTGTGTTTTTGTTTTGCTAGCTGCAGCTCACATTGGCATTTTTAAAATCCCAGCCAGAGCTCTGCTGCACAAGGAGCCCTGTTTTTATGCCAGAGGCACTGTTGCCTTGGGGGCAACCACACACTGCTGGCCCCTGGGCACATCATGAAAGAAACTGGTGGGTCCAGGCCAACTCCTCTAGGATGGAGGCCCAAAGCTGCACTCTTTCAAGGCTCAGATGTGAGAAGAGCCAGGATGCACTGGGGATGTAGAGCATTAGAGTCAAACCCATGGGGCACCTGTTCCCCAGGCAGATACTTCTCAATGAATCCTCTTTCCTTTGTCTGTTTTCACACAGGATATCTGGGGTATGTTGTCTGTCTGCCCCAATTTTTCTTCTGGGCTTGAGATGTATTTCAGAACTCCACTTTCCTGGCCTTTATTTCCTCTCTGTTTTCAGTCAGGCATCTCTACTTGTATGGCAAGCACAGGCATCAAGATCTGCCTGCAACTGCACTTCAAATCTTGCATTTTGGAGGTGAGAGTATTCAAGCTGAATTTGTGGGTTTCCATGTTCTTAAGTAGAGAAGGCCATCAAACCCACATTTTATGTCCTGAATGAATTCTCTAATCATTAGTACCTCTCATCCAACTTGATGTTTGTTGTTTAGTGTTTCTTTTTTAATTAAAAAAGAAACAATCTTGATCTCTGCACAAATTTATTAGTATTGGTGTCTACCTCCAAAGAAAGTTATGGGCAATGGTTTTGGCCACTCCACTCTCCGATTACAGGTTATTTTTAATCCCATCTAGAGATTTGTAACTCTTTTCCAAGCGTGGAACAGGGAAACTAAGCCCATAACTGTGTTCCAAATAATACTCCTGGGACCTAAAATTAAATATTGCAAAATATTTGCCCACATGTTTTGCCTAGTTTTTACCACTGACATTGACCTTTACTTTAAATTAGTCCTCATAGTTACTCTTGAGACAAAAAAAAAACCCCATAAAGACATTAAGGAGACTGTTCATTCCCAGCTCGAATATCGTCTATTTGTGCTGTCTTAATGTTGAAGAAGTAATATGTACAGTGGGCTTTCTTTTCAGGCAGAAATGCGAAATACCAAACCCAAATGCGGACTGAGCCATGTTGCATTATTGCTCGGGACCAGTAGATGGCAACCACCCCTTGCAGTGTCAAAGGTAAGTGAGAATTGTTCAGGTAGGCGATGTATTAGGCGACAGCTTGAGCAGCAAAGCTCTGCTACTCCACACGAGGAGAAGGCAGAACTTGTATTTTTTACTCCTTCTTATACGTCTCCCTTTGGGAAGGGAGCAGTGAGTTGTCCTTTTCCACACTCAGTTTTGACAAATTATAATTGTGACAATTCATTTGAGTAAACCATCTGAGGCTTCTCCTTGCTGCTAATATCAGTCAAAAAAAGAACAAGACAATGGGGAAAAAAAAGTCCAAAGCATTGGACTGCATTTATTAGACTACCTTAGCTTCCACAGGAATAGCCTCAAGTTCTTATCATTATTAATTAGATTCCTTATTACTTTAGGTGGAAGCAGTTAGAACTCAGTAACAATGAATCTGGGATTGGAAATAGACTTCCCTCTAGGAATTGACTGAGGCTATTGACATACCAGTTAATTAATTCTCATTATATGAGGGGCCTTAAAGAATATTTTTTTTACATTATCAAGTTGGAAGACATTCTAATTTTTTTTTCCCTACAACATTAGATCAAAAGTTATTCATTTCTAGGAGCAAGAACAATAAAGGTTTGAAAAAATCCCCTCCAAGAACCTTGCATTTTTCACTTCAGAACAGAAGTTCCTTCATTAAAACAGGAGAAGAGTTAGAGAAATATAAGGATAGCTTTACTAGAAGGACACTTAACTAGCTGTAGTCATATGAAATTTTCCTTTAGCGTTGTTTTAACCATATTTTGTGCCTTTGTTTTCAATAAGAAGTGGTATACATAATACATGTGTTGATGCACACAGGAGTGTTAGTAGTGCAGGAAAAAACCCTAGACCTTTGAACCCCCAGAGGATTCCTGCATTGCCTTACAGTGTCATTTGCAATTTAAAGAAGAATACACTACAAATAGCTAAACCAGACAAGAAGAGCACTGTCACTTAGCAAAAACAAACCAAAATACACTGCATTACTGGGATGCCTCCCTCCAAGTTCTCAACCACTTTGCAAACCATTAACTTGAAATGTGTTAATTTGCACCCTTGCAGTACAAGGTGTATGTTTTTCTCAGAACTCACACCTTTGCTGGGAAAGCTTAAAAAACCGACTTGACAGATAAAGTATAAGCTTTCACTTTTGTTGCAGCTACCCCTTGATCAGCTGTGAATTTCTATAAGGGACTTTGAAATTAGGAGAAAACCAGCTGGTATCCATTTCCTAGTGAATACTAGAGAGGTGATGTAGGAATAGCTCCTGAAATCCTTTACGAAACCCAGCAAACTTTTTTCATTGTTTCCTTAATCTAATAATCACATTTGTACTCTAAACCCCTATACTTTTTAATGAGATTTAAGAGCTTTTTTTCTTCTTTAGAGAACTTAAAGTCATTGAACCTGATTATAAAATTTGAGCACCTTTATTTGCCTTAGCATGAAAAACTGTATGAGTTGTATCTGTTGCTTTTGTTGTGGACTCATGAGTTTTGTTAAGGGTCCAGGAGTTACCCTGGACTCTTTTTGCAGAGAATTGCAAAGCTAGTTAGAATTTTTTTTTTTTTTTTTTTTTTTTTTTTTTTGCAAAAAGGCAAAGAAAGAGAAGTCTAAATGATTTAGAAGAAATTTTTAGAGAAACAATATAAATACTGCTCTGTTTATAGTCATGCTTTTTTTAGCTCAAATATTTGAGAACAGATAGTTTTAAAGATTCAAGATCTGTGGTTGCTGTGAAGGGCAGAGAAAGGTGTCACTGCTGGTACTTGTGGCAACAGAAGTTTGCAAGAGACCTCCAAGGACAGTAACTGTCCAGTAAAGTTTAGTTCATGTTCAAGGAATCCATGTGGAAGTTCCCTTCCACTCTACTTCGTACACATCTCAGATCACAAAATACACCCTCATGCACTGTAATAGTCATATTTATGGCAGAACCTGCCTCAAGGTCTGGAATTTTATGTGTTAGGTATTTAAGTAAGGGTCAGAGGTATCTTCAAAAGCTTGTGCCGTGTTTCTGTCATGAGTGCATTGAAATGTGCGTACAATGAGCTGTGACAAAGTGCTCTGAAGATTGTGGTCTGGTAGGAGTGTGCACACCTTATGTACAATGGTAAAAAGACCCTGGAAAATGTAATTGTAGCCTCTTCACTTTTCTCCACCTCCACTTCCTAAAGTTGGAAACAGCTCATATTGCCCCCTACTGCAGTGCAGAAGAAGTGTCTCTGGACTGTTTTTAGCAAAACCTTTCTGTTTCTTTGATCTTTGAAATGTTCCTTGTTGAGCAAAGCCTTAGCATGATGGCCAGCAGACTTGTTTGATCATGAAGAATGAAGGATGTGAAGAATGAAAATACGATTGAGGACTGAGGCAAGTGCTTGTACATTGACTTTTCAGCAAAGAATAAAGTACAGATTTGCATGGGGACTTTGCTTACCTGATCCTTATTTCACATGCTGTTTGAGGCATGATTTAAAGGAGAGATAACCAGGATCACAGTCCAGTAATGTGCTGAGTGATTTTGAGGTCGTGCTGGATACTATCCATTACTATTGCTTGCAATGAGATTCAGGGATAATCAAACTTGGCATAATAAATTACCAAGATAAGATAGGTAATGAAAGAATGTGAAGTGCAGAAGATAGGTTTGTGCTTCTCAACAGCGTTCAGTGTGACTTCTGTAATTATTAACTAAACCTTAAAGCCTGAGGTAGTCCTTATTCAAATGCCTTAATCCTTTTTCAGATTCTCTCCTTACAACATCTCCTGTCTCCTAACATTTCCACAATGAGAGAAAGGAAGGCAACAGATCCACTCGATTCATCCACAGATCTGACTGAAGGGAAGGAGAAATTAAGACTGAAACAAGAGGTCGGCCTGATTAGCGGCGTGTCATTAATTGCAGGTACCATGATAGGCTCAGGGATCTTTATGTCCCCTGAGTGGGTACTGCACCACATGGGGAACCCTGCCAGCAGCCTGCTGATCTGGGCAGCATGCGGTCTCCTGGCCATGTTTGGAGCCTTGTCGTACGCTGAGCTTGGAACAATAATTAAAGAGTCTGGAGGAGAATATATTTACATTTTGAGGATTTTTGGTTCCTTTCCTGCTTTCCTTTTCGCCTACACTTCTGTCATCCTGGTGAGACCAGCTGGTTTGGCAGCTGTCTGTCTGAGCTTTGCTGAGTATGCCATTGCGCCGTTCTACCCAGGGTGCTCATCTCCGCAGGCTGCCGTCAAATGTACAGCTGCTGCCTGCATCCTGATTTTAACTATCATCAACTGCCTCAACGTGAGGCTGGCAACATCTGTTATGAACGTTTTTACAGCTGCCAAACTCTTGGCTTTGTTGGTAATCGTGGTGGGTGGGTTGGTGCTGCTTGCCAAGGGACAAACTCAGAGTTTTCAGAATGGTTTTCAAGGCACCACTGCAGGTATTGGGGCAGTTGGAGTGGCATTTTACCAGGGGCTCTGGTCCTATGATGGATGGAACAACCTAAATTATGTAACTGAGGAACTGAAGAAGCCTGAGGTGAGTGAATGAGTGAGCAAGCTGGGTTTTACTTACTTAATCCTGCTGTTAATATGTTTGATTCTATCTGTGATTGTGTTAAGAGTGGTAATCAAGGGATTTACAGTGAGGATGCCCCATCCCCAGAAGTGTTCAAAGCCAGCTTGTGTGGGGCTTTGAGCAACTTGGTGTAGTGGAAGGAACCCCTGTTCATTACATGGAGATTTAAACTAGATAATCTTTAAGGTCCCTTCCAATCCAAACGATCTTGTGGTCCTATAAAAGTCCTAAAATAACCCATTGACTGGAAAGAAATTATTAGGCAGCACTTGGATGCTTTGGAGATGAAGTTTTTTATTAGTGTTTAGAGGATCTCACTGTAGACACCTAGATTTATTCAGAAAAGCACTCACTGCTATAATCCATAAAGAATTCTTAACAACATGTATTTTCTTAAAGACTTGATCCATAATCTATGCTTTAGAAAACTACTAAAGCATAGTTCTCTGTTCCATCGAGGGGCAACTTCAGAGCAAGCCAAGCCTCTCTGGAAAGGGAATCTAACTCTGCGAACAATCCCCATCTTTAAACATCTATATTTTAGCATTGTGCAGTCCATGCTGTAGGCACTGAAGTAGCTCATCTGCATCTCACATCACCTTCTTTGTGCCATATTACCCATTTTCACAGATCAAACACTGCAGCAGTGAACAACTCTTATTTTGCAAGAGTTGCGTGAGTGCCGAGTTTTAGAGTGTGCTTTGTACTGGTGCAGCCCACAAGATCCTACAGATGAAATGCAAATACACAGTTAAATATTAACCTATATGGCAGCAAAGATCCCAGGGCCACTCTCTCCCACAAGATTGTGCGCGCTGATATTCAGGCCCTTCCAGAGTGGAGACACCACCATTAGGAATTGCTGTATCTTGTCCTGTGTTGAGAATGGGGAATGCAAAAACTCATATTTCAGGTTCTTAGATGTCTACAGTTGCCATTTCCCAGTATTTTCAGTTGCATAAGACACCGTTGATTTTATTGAGTCTTAAAATGATCCTGTGGTGTTCTAAGACACAATCCTGCCACTAAGAAAAAATAAATATTTCCTTCCTAGTGCAAATCCCCTTTGAGATTTTGAGATCAAACCCCTGTTTTGATTTAAACCGTAGAGTAGTTAAATGTGATACAACATACAGTGGAACTTTGTCCAGGGCAGTGAGGTGTTTATGGGGAGATGCAGCACACCAGGAGACATAACATACTAATAACAAATAAATCAATATTAAAATAATCAAGAAATATGCAAAAGGCATCTTAGGCAGCTACAAATCCAAATCTTTTTAATAAGATTTGGTGGGTTCTTTTTGTTTGAATTATTTTGTTTGGTTGGTTGTGGGTTTTTTCAGACTAACTTTGGAACTGTACAAGACTGCTGTGAAAGCTGCCATGTGAATCTGGATCTATGTCTTGTTCTGAGGAAAGGTTTAGGAAGTGGAGGAATTTCAATGAGAGATGTGGGTGGTGGCAAAACCAAATCAAACAAAAAAAGCACAGTGCTGCACTGAACACTACTGTCATCCCTTTTCCAGGTGACCCTTCCCAGAGCTCTGATGATTGCCATTCCTTTGGTTACATGCCTGTATTTGCTGGTAAACGTGAGCTACCTGGCAGCCATGACTCCCACTGAGCTGCTGTCTTCAGGAGCTGTGGCCGTCACCTGGGGGTGAGCTCTGCGTGGGGCAGCATGGGCAACGCAGCTCTGAGAAACACTGGGTCTCTCCTGAGTTTCAGGAGATCTAAATGTTATTCCCAGAGGGAATGGCAGCACTGCATTGGTCAGGCCATGTTACAGAAAAGAAAAGGGTGACTAAGGTGGACAGAGGGCTGAAGCACATTGCTGTCTGAGAGAGCTGGGGCTGTTCAACCTGGAGAGAAAAAGCTCCAGGGAGACCTTACAGCATTTTCCAGTGCCTAAAGGGGTTACAAGAGAGCTGGAAAGGAAGTTTTTACCAGGGCATGTAAAAGTAGGACAAGCAGGAATGGCTTCAAATTGAAAAAGAGTAGGTTTAGATTAGACGTAAGGAAGGAATTATTTACTGTGAGGGTGGTGAGGCACTGGCACAGGTTGCCTGGAGAAGCTGTGGATGCTCCATCCCTGGAAACATTCAAGGTCAGGTTGGAGGGGCTTTGAGCAACCTGGTCTAGTGGAAGGTGTCCCTGCCCATGGCAGGGGCTTAGAAGAGAATGATCTTCAAGGTCCATTCCAAATTGTTCTATAATTCTAGGGCCAAGGCTGACCAGCTCCATCTGGCCATGGTCTCCAAGGTGCATCTAAGCTGCCAAGATGGCACATTCCTTACTCCCCATTCCCTTTGTTTACACTGGGAACCTGTAACTCCCCCAGCTCATGTTTTACCTCATGGAAAGTGTCCATAAGGGAGAGGTGAAGGTCACACCATGAGCATCTCCCCACAGGCACTGGGAATGCAGCAAGGGTACATATCCAGACTTGGAACTGAGAAATTTTGCACATTTTAGATATTTCCAGGGAAATTGAGAGGGCAATGTGCTGTCCTGCTAATGCAGAGGCAGTGGATTGGGAGTGAATCAGGAGTCAATTGACTGAATGCTCTCTACTTGGCACCTGGAATTTAGAGCAGACCAGAGTCTTTTGTCTCAGTTTCTCCTTCTGTGGGGAAATGGGAAATGGCACTGATCTCAACACCTTTGAGAGCTGTTATACACAGGTTAGGTAGCCTTTGGTAACTGCAACTTCAATTGGCTTGTGTTTTTCCAGAGCTGCACAGAAACAATTTCTACCTTTCCTCAGCCTGAAGTATTTGGTGACATTAAACTGTTTCTGTACAAGACTAGGAACTTAGGAAGAGAAGGAAGGGACCATCATGAGAGGTATAGACACCATCAATGATCTTCCAGCATTAGTCTAAATATTTTCAAAGACACAGAATCCCTGATAGCACTAAATGAGTTGTCAGGCAGAAATGATGACATGGTGTATCCGCAGATTGTGTGCTGCTCTTCCTAAAAAGCAGCAGCTTTGCTTCTGTGTGCATTTCACAAGATCTCCCATTTGAAGATCTGACTGAGCTCTTGCTGGATGTGTTCTCTAATAGCCTTTCACATCATTATGAGTGGGAGCTTTTAAAGATCTAGTTTTGTTTGAGCATGTCACAAAGCCTCACTAAGCTGCAGTGTCACGAACTTTCCCTGCACTTCCTTTCCCATCATTCCTAATTAACTAGTTATTTGTGAGCTTCCTCCTTTGTAAGGCATCTCCTTTTCCTGTCTGATTAACCTTTTCACCCAAGAGTGCAATTCAGGAAGAAATATTGAACTAGTGACAGGAAATCTGGGCACTCAAAGGCTGGGGAACAGGTAGGGAGCCAGTCTGAGGAGGAGGTGAAGTTTGTGCCTCACAAGCAAGACATGCAGCTATTCAGGCCATTAGGAAAGAATGGGAGGAGCATAAAGATGCCAGAGGAGGACTTGTCACATTTAAATGCATTTATTCCCTATGTAAGAGGAAAACTGCAAGAAGGAAACATTGTTCAGTGGTGAGAGGTGTGGCCACAAAAGGAGCTCAGGAAACTCTTCCCAGCGTTTCTTTGATCACAGCGATTTAACAGCAACCACAGGTTTCAGTTTGCTTGTAAATAAAGTGATCTAAAAAAAATTTGAGTTTTGGCTTTTTGCCAATTAGATAAACAGTGTTTGTGTATGTGATAATTACCCCAAACACCAGCATTTATTACTCAATTAATACTCTTAATGCTGCTTCATTCCAGAAGACAATCTTCACTTTTAGGTGAGAAAATTATCATTCCTTCCAAATATTTACCTTGAACTCTGTAACTCTGCTACTTCTTCTGTTAAGTACAAAGTGAAACAGAAATGTTTGAATATGTTATAGAACCAAACATCTGGAATTCAAACCAATTTTTTTGGCTTAAGTCAGATTCACAGAAGAGCAGTAATTGGTGCATGTGGGATTAACGGGTTAAAATCCTATGCATATTCAGGAAGAGGTTATAATGCAGAATATTTCTTCCAATGTGATGGGAACAGTTTTTCTGTGATTTCCGAGCTAATATTATTGGTTGTGATAGCAGTATCTTCAGGTGTTTTGCCACAGCTTCAGTACACAAAAAAGGTGGTTTTGCCTGTTGTGACCTCTTTGTACACCATTGCAGTGCAGACAGAATATATATATAGCAGGAAGAAAAGCTGTCAGACAAGACAACTTGCAAGTCACTAAATATTATGGGAATTGCAAGAAGACTTTAAATCATTAGAAAGACTTCAGAAAAAGATACTGTACAATACAGAAATAATGGAGTGATGTAACCTGTCTGGTTCTACAGTGAGTATTCAATACATTTATGAACTGCATCTTGTGCTGTGAACTCTTTCCCACCTCAGGGACAAAGTCCTGGGCAGCTGGGCATGGCTCATCTCCCTGTCGGTGGCCCTGTCTACATTTGGTTCCTCAAATGGGACGTTCTTCAGCGGAGGCCGTGTGTGCTACATTGCTGCCAGGGAGGGCCACATGGTGAGCACAAAGAAAGGGCTCTGGCTTGCTTTGAGCCACTTCACCTTCCTGTGACACTAAAGCAGAGAGGAAAACAGTGTATGTTCAACTGGAAGAGTGATAGCTCTTCAAGGGGTTTGTTCCTTGCTCATTAATCCCCATCTCTTTCAAATGTAAGGTGTATTGTCACTGTCATATTTTCTGAAAAATCCCTTTGCCCAGGATTCTTCTCCTGGGAAGCTGAGAAGCCTCAGAGAAAAATGAAAATAATAATTATCTGATTGCTTCTCCTGTGTTTTGCTGCTTTGGAATGTGGTCTGGAGATTGTTTATCCAACAAGTGGTTGTTTGATTGGTTTCATGTGAATTGTTTTTACTTAATGACCAATCACCATCTGGCTGTATTGGGAGTCTGGAAGAGATTATGAGTTTTTCTACAGTATTTTGTTAAGCCTTCTGTAAGGATCCTTTCTCTATTCTTTAGTATAGATATAATATAATATAATTAATATAATATAATATAATATAATATAATATAATATAATATAATATAATAGCCTTCTAAGAACAGAGAGTCAGATTCTCAATTGCTCCTTCGTCCTGGGGACCCCGAAAATACCACAGTGTATGTTGTCTCTGGGCTTTCTTTTTCAGTCAGGTGCTTTCACAAAGATAACATATTCACATCTAGTCTGAATTTTAAGAACAGCTTTGAAATGAACCACTCAAAACTGGCTGCATTGGAGCACCAGGCAGAGGCTGTGGGGTGAGCTAGTCAATATACCTGCCAGGAAAGGAGCACCTGGCCATGCATGTGTGTTACAAGGCTCCTTTGCTTGCACTGGGAGGGTAGCCCAGCACCAGCCAGCTGCCTTTGCAGCTGTTACACTGACTATACAGGTTGGTCTCAGGGGTGATCCAGCCTTCATATGGGTAGTCCAGCTTATATGCAGCATAGGATATCTCTGCTCTTCAAGCTTCATAGCAATTACAAGGTGATACCAAGCCTTACATCTCTCCTAGCTTGGGTTTATCATTGGTTTTGTTAGGTGGGCCAAATCTGGTAACCCAGTGGAGGTCAGGCTGCTGCAGTTCCCCCCTCCTTGGTCCAACCAATAAGTCCAGCATGTATTCCCAGCAGCCACACACACACAAACACAGGTATCAAATGTATTTATATACACTCATACATACATACATGTATATCTGTATATGCATTCAGAGCCAGCAAGGAACGTAGAGCTCCATATACAGACATAGCTGGGGCTCACACAAACACCAGCACTAACAACACCAAGGGCCTTTCATTCCCTCTCTGGCTGATCAGGGGTCTGATAGTGAGAAATACATATAAAACATGTGTACAGCTTGGGTCCCTCCAGCAGCTGGGCTCAGATACTCAGCCCCTGGATCCCAGTCTCCCCAGTTGCTGCTGTCTAGGCTAACAAGTCCCCCAAGGTTGCTGCCACATCCCAGCTGCTGATACAGACCCCCCTCACTCACAGGTACCCCTCCACACACACTTAACCACACTGCTCCACAAGGAGGAGAAAAAAGGCTGAGCTACATTTGTCCTCTGTTTTGAGCAGGCCTCTTGTGTTCCTTCTAAATCTCTCTGCTTTTTTTGGTCGTTCCCACCCACAGCATCTGGCATTTCTGTCCTCAAGTGTGAAGGAGCTGAAATGGGTTGTACACAGAGGTTGTGGATGCCCAATCCCAGGAAGTTTGAGGCCAGGCTTGATGGGGCTATGAGCCTGATCTAGTGAAAGGTGTCCCTGCCTACAGCAGGATGTTGGAATTAGATGATCTTTAAGATCCCTTCCAGCCCAAATCATTCTATGAATCCGTGATTCCACACCAGCTCCAGCTCCGCTCCTGGTTCATAGCAGGGAATCTTTTATGCATATGAATGACCAGGTTGGTGGAAATGACTGGAATGGTGGTTGCTGGTTTTGGTGGTTCCTGATTTTGGTGGTTACTGGTTCCTCAACCTCTCTCTCTGAGGATAATGCCTGCTCTATCATGGCAAGCTCTGTGCTGAGAAGTGCACGGATGGTCTGAATCTGACCATAGCAGACTATGAGCTGAATGCTTATGCCATTTCTCAAACACTCACCTCTAGCAAAGGTCCTTCATGATATTTTGGTTGGGAATTAAAAATAAAATTAAATAAAATTTTAAAAGCAGCCTTTCTCATTAAACTTTGCCAATGAAACAAACAATAAAGAGGCTACTAATCCTGAAACAAATCCTGGTGTAATTTGTATTCACATAAATGTTTCAGGACTAGTCCTTGTCTCATTTTGCAGTCATCCCAAGAGAAGTCAAGTCCCAGAGAGACATGACAGACGGCAGAAGAGTGGGCCCATGGCAAAAGGTCCTGATGGTGGTCAGGAAAGCTCTAATTTGACTCATTCTGTCACATCAGTAGTTTGAAAACCTCATTTTGCCTGCTCAAACTGATCATGTTTGATATGAAACCAGTGAGACACAATAAAAATACCCTTGAAGGAGTTTCCTGTATTTACACTCCTTGGAGTTGGTCTGGTTGTATATAGTGCTTATTTGCTGATTCTGAATGGCTCTGGCTGCAGGCAAAGCTCCCACCAGCAGCTGAGGGGGATGAGTAAGGAGCTCTGAGTCCATGAAATGATGATGCTTTGCTCTGTTTTTCAGCCAGACATTCTGTCCATGGCTCATGTGCGACGCCTCACACCCTCCCCTGCTCTACTGTTCACATCTGCCATGTCTTTAGTAATGATAATATCAGGGAGCTTCACCAGCATTGTCAACTTCTTCAGGTATGTGTGTGTAGGGTTTCTGTTTGTGCTCCTGTGCTCCTGGGTTTTACATTGTTTATAAGTATTTTCTTGCATTATCCTTTTGAGCCTGGGCTATTGCTTTCTAACCAATACTGGGGAGAGGAGGAGGGAAGAAGGAAAAGAAAGAGATTGGGAACCAGCACTTTGCAATGCATGAATGCTCCTGTCACTAGAGACTTAACTGAATGTGATTCATCCCCATTGAATCAGTAATGTTCAGATAATTCTAAAGTTCTCATTGTTTGTGCTAGAAACAAAATTAATGGAGGAACTACTAAATTTATATCAATATTCACTTTTTTAATTGGAGATATGAACATCTGGGATCTGCAAGGCAGGATTGACATTCCTGGGTGATCTCACCCCAAGTTTAATGCTATCTAATTTTTTTTTCTTTTCTTCGAGTTTTATGGCATGGCTTTTCTATGGAATGACTATTTCTGGGCTCCTGTATTTAAAAATCAAGAAACCAGAACTGCCAAGATCTTACAAGGTAAAGTAATAACATAAAACCCTCAAATATTTTCCTATATCATTCAAATGACTATGAGAACATTTAGAGAAAAGAGCGAGCGCTGGTTGCTTACAGATTCAATGTGGTTGTCCTTCCTTTTTTAATTTCAAGTTTTGTGTCAGCAAAGTCAACAAGGGGTGAGACAGTGTGAACATACAGGCAGAAGTCAAGGTTGAATTCTCTGCCTTGATAAGCTAATAATGCTCTGCCTCCTCACTATGAAAATATCTACCATATCCTCTTTCTTTCTAAAATATTTAAATGGTAAATGAAGGATGATTCTGATCAACATTGTAATTACCTGTTTATGCTCACAGACTTTGGGCAAACTCCTTGGAGGGTAGCCCAGGTGAAAGAACCTTGCAGAGGGAAAAATAACGTAGGTGGAATCATGTGTTCCCCTGATGTCATGAGTGAGCTGATCTTCAGTGCTTCCTCAGTAACTGAGGATTATTAATGAATGCACAAGCCACCCTTCTTTGAGGAAGGGTGGCTTCAAATTGAAGTTTAAATGCCTTCTGACCAGGCTTACAGAAACTGCCTCTGAGATTGCCTGTCCACCTGTCTTCAATACACAGATAAAACTTTTTGTGCAAGGGTGCTAAGGTACAGTTGATTTGAATGCTCTGTGTTTTGTCTACATCTTGGCTTTGAGATGCAAGGTAGTAGGGAGACCAAGAACAGGCCTGGCACAAACCCAGTAGTTTGCATCTTCAGGTCTAGGAGGGCAGGAAAGAGGGGTTAAGGCATCATATGGTGGTGTAGCTCTTGCAGGGATGTTCAGCCTTGGGATGGGGGTAGGCTGGGAACAGGATATCTGGATTACTTGGTATTTCTAGGTAATTTCTATACCTTAGGTTGCAAAAAGGTTTCATCTACAAAGCCTTCTGCAGAAGTTCCAGGGTTATCCAGACACACAGAAGCCCAGAATTACATGAGTCTTTATGCTGCTGTTTTGCTTTCACAGGTCCCAATTATCATCCCCATAATTGTGCTGATGGCAGCTGTGTACCTGGTGTTAGCTCCTATCATTGATCAACCCCAAATAGAGATCCTCTACATCGTCCTGTTCATTTTCAGTGGCATCATTTTTTATTTCCCACTGGTTCACTTCAAGTACCACCCTCGCTTCCTACAGAGAGTCACTTTGCACCTCCAGTTGTTGCTGGAAGTTGCTCCAACTACCAGGGATGCAGACTGAGATAACATCCTTCCTTCACGTGGCTGCCTGCACCTCATGGTTTACCCCTTGGTTTTCAAGGCTCAGAAAATATTCTTCTGTAAAGAGCAATGAGTGGAATGCGAGTGACACTAAATGTCCAGGTGAGATGGACTGCAGCTGTGACTTCTTATGTTTCCCTAAAATTCTGGGGACATGTTTTTCTCCTTTTCAGCATTGCCTTGGCATTACATTTGTATTTTTCATCCCAAAAAGGGCTGTTTCTCAGGATCTTATCTCTTATTTCAAGATAAAATGCAGCAGAAGAGAGAAAATGAAATAATATTCCTATAGCAGGCTGAGTCCCATAGCCATTTCTGGAAATGCCTTTAATTATTCACACCTAGTTCTGCCCACTGTGACTGCAGAGCTTCTCAAATCAATAAAGCAAGGGCTCACCATGGCCACAAGAAATAAACCCTTTTCCACTCAGGTATTCACTCTGGGAAGATTATGCTTCTTCCAGTTCCAGGCGCACAGTGACAACAGTCATTTCTCTGTCTCAGAAACCATCCCACATCTCCCACAGAAAACCCTCTGACGTGAGACAAGAAGTGCTTTAAAGCTCTGTCAGTTTACTCATTGAGAATGCACTTGTCATCTGGGATCCATCCATTCGTTATGAGGATGCAGGCAACATCACTCAAGTGCCAACATTCACCCATGTCCTTCCTGTGATCCCCCTGAAGGAAAAACCTTATTTTGTGACAAAGTGAGGGGAAAAAAAACCCACCAAAAAACCCTAGAGCATATGTACCAGCAAAATACTCTGACTAGGAATTAAAGAAACCACATACTGAGCTATGTAGGAGAAGTGTGGCCAGCAGAGCAAGGAAACACTCTGTCTCTTTGGACTCAACCCCTGAAATCATGCATCTAGTGTTGGGCCCTGCTGCTCAAGGTGGAGTTGTGAAGACCACCTGGGCCCTTCTTTATAATGGCAGCTCAGAGCAGGGGTCACAAGCTGTGGCTTGAGATGTTCGGGCTGGACTTAGGGAAATGTGCCCCATGAGGGCAGTGCAGTGTTGGAGCAGTGTGCAGAGAGGTGGGGAGATCTCAGTTCCCTTGCATTTTCTACCACAGCCATTTCCACCAATTTCTGTGATTCTGAAGGCACAGCACAAAAGTCACAGGCTGTGCTCTCACCCACACTTAACACACTGAAGTCACTCTTGTTTCCCATTATCCTGAAGCACAGCTGGTTTTTTCCCTGCTCTTAGGGAGGGAGAGGTATTATAAGCTGTTTTCTTCACATTTTCCCAGATGGTTCCAGGATGATACCTGTCATAGACTAAAAAGGTCTAGGAGTTAATCCCTAAAATGCCTTGTTAAAGTACTGAAAGTTAACTTTCTGTCAGCATTCTTCTATAGAACCTGCTACAATCCTGCTACCTTCTCCCTAAGCTGCTATGATCCTAGAACACAGGTTACTTGATCCTCCAGGCCTCTTCCAGCCCATCTCAGAGTTGCGTATCTGATTACAATCTCATTCTGCAATGTCACCCCTCCTGCTCCTCTGAGTGGTGATACCAGCAGCTACAGGGATGCACCCACAGTCTGTTTTTCCGAGTGTTAGGTATGATAATGGATAGGCCAGATGCCACTCATCCAAATCCTTAGCTTAAACAGTGTTTGGGAGGATTTCCTTCCACTGATTTTTACTGGAGTTGCCAAGAAAGGTTAGTGAGAGGACAATTTTTCCTCCTGAATCCCTTGACAATATAAAATTCTTGGGATGTGTCTCTTAAAGGAGGGGATGTTCTCAGAAGGACTGATGAGGTTAGGAGCTCTAGGTTGCCTTCCTCCCACTGTCCCAGGCTCTTCATCTGATGTCAGGGAAACTTCTTAAAGGAGCTGCATCTCAGCTACTTACCTAAAAATTAGAATAATACAATTTCTCTGATCATAATTTTTTTGAAACAATCATTTTCTTACCTATTTATGAAGCCTATCACATGAGACTGTGCTCTAATAAAGAACATGAAAAGACTTAGCACTTTGAATAGATAGCCTTCATGTGTTATTGGTTTGTATATGGATATAAGGAAGCCGGAAAGCTGCAATTATCATACTCTGCACCTATCTCATTTTCTATAGATATTATTGTAACAAGATGTTCTTTTTTATTTATGTTGCCTAGGATTTGCAGGTGTTTATATTGCCAAAACAAGATGCTGAAAGCTCAGAGAATTGAAAGATAATTACAATAAAATGGGCATTACAATGAAGTGAGTTAATGTGTGTTTCTGTTTCTCACCTAAGAAAAACAATTCCACAGAAATTTTACTGCATGATCATAAACAATCAGCATCAGGCTTATCTCTCCTTGGTCAGAAGGTTTAACAATGTGCGTGGGTGTTTATATGTGCATACACTCATTTTTCAAAGTGATTGCTTATCTATTCAACCCCAGGATATGTAAATTGGAATCCCTTTTTCCTTCATGAGACATTTACAATGGAAGTGCCAGGAAGAGGCAACACATCCTTACCATTTATTCCTGCAGCACAGTGACAATGTGACAGTGGACTGAGCTCTGTTCCTGCACCTTGTACAGGTTATTCTACAAGATCTTATTGGTCCCGTCTTTTTCCAAAGCTCCAGATCCCTGTGATCTATGCTTAGACCCTTTCTTCATGGGCTCAGAGGAAAAATGGACTAACAGCATTGACCTCAAGATAATCATAAGATCTCTGCTTCACCTCTAGACCCTGAGTATAATTGAGTCCCATCCTTCAGCTGGCAACCTGCAACAACCTGTTGGGAGCTTTACTTTGGTGCACAAAGCTGAATGTATTCTGGGCTTTTTCCTGACTTCTTCAGAAGCATCAGAGATGGACTACACCTAGGGACAGTAAAGGACAGTCCAGTGTGTGAGAGAGCACAGAAAATCCTCCTTTGGTGATCTTCTAGTTAGGTATACTCATATGCCCATGTTCAAATGATTGCCATATGTCGTGATTGAGGACAAATTTCTGATTGGGTGGGACAGCAGAATTCAAGATAACTTTAATTTTCCTCTGTTCAAGAAACACAGTTCACCCACTTAGACTGAGTGGGTTTATCTGAACAGTTCTCAGCCAGAGGATTTGGTGTTTAGTCTCTCTTGCTCTTTACAGGGACATGGGAAATAAAAAGACCTCACTGAACTCTCTCAGCAGGGTTAACTTGCTCTCCAGGTCATCACACTTAGGGGATGAAATAAATACAGTCAGCTTTGGGAATCACAGACAACTCCAGTGTGGGTTGGAACTGACCTCTGGTGGTCTCGTGTCCAACTTTCTTCTCAAAGCAGGACTATTATCGTGTAAGGCTGTTTACCTGTGCCTCTGTCTCTCCATGTTTTGGAAAACACTGAGGATGGAGAGCCCACCATCTCTGAACTTCAGGAAAATTTCTTTATCCAGAGAGTGGTGCAATCTGACATCTCAATCCGCAGCTTGTGGCTGTTGCCCTTCCCTGTATCACCTTCTACTGCCAAAGGTGGTTGTGGTTGGTTCTATCCTTTTTGTAACTCTTTTGTGGAGCTATAGGCTGCTGTTATGTTGCCTTTTTTTGCCAGGCTCAAAAAGCCAAACTCAAGAAGCCTTTTCATGTAGGCAAAGTGCTCTGGACTTCTGTCTTGGGAGCTCTTTGCTGAAGTCCCTCCAGTTCCTCTGCTTTCCTTTTGAACTTGGAAAGGGTCAGAAAATAGAATGCAACATTCCAAGTGTGCCTTCACAGGTGTCAAGTCTATAGAGACACTGACATCCCTTAGTCTGCTTAGGTACCTTTCTTAATGCAGGCCACTATATGTAACCCTTTCAGTCAGTCATTTCTGAGAGCTCTAGCTGACTGAGTTGAAGGCAATGGAAAACCCTTACTTTGTACAGTTGGTGCTCTTATGAGAAACTTTGTCTAGGCTGTGATAAATCCAGCATCAGGATGACTCAGTCTAGCAGTGCAGGGGGATCTACATCTTGCATTTTACCATTTATTGATGAGTTAGTTGGATACTGTCAGGGTCATTATGTATGTGACTCATTCCTCACGAAGGAGTGCTTTTGCTAAAAAAGGATGCACACCCACAGTCATAAAGTAAATGGGTGGTCTTATGTTGTTAAACTAGCAGTGAGATTAATGGCTAGTGAAACAGCCCATCTGTTTCTAGAATCAAGCTACCATGTCATGTTTGTCCTCAGAGACAGTGAACCCTATGGCTTGAGTGTCTGGCAGATAAATGATCATCTTTTCCTTCTAAAGCTTGGTCATCAGTTGTTACTGTTTAATTTAAAGGACTATGCCCTGCTTTCCATGCAGTGACATAAAAGGCAGCAGGGGAGCTGAGGACAGGGAAACTGAGAAGTAGCTTGAAAGAGAATTACTATACATTACAAGTCTTGGCTTATCTGTCTGAATTACCTATGTAAAATCCAGACATGGACAATACCCAAACAGCAAAGACATGTGCCCATAATTTTTGAAATTACTAAACTTTTTTTTTTGCTTAGCAGTAATTGATTTCCTTTCTGTTTGTACATTCTGGGCCTGGTCTTCAGTTCACAATGTTTTTCCCACAGCATAACTGTGTCATGAACAAAGTAGAGCAATGGGCCAGCCTTTTTTTCATTGCTCAGTCTGTGGTTGCCAAACATCAGCAACAGATCATGATTCCTTTGAAGAGACGGCACACAGATTTCCAGTAGAAGGTACAGATCCTGGCACAAGGAGCACCACCAGTTCCTGAATTAGGAATCCAGAGCTGTCCCCAGGATCTCTCAGGGTATTGGATCTGCTGTCCTCTTCCCCTTGCTGTGGCCTTACTCCAGGTCTCTAAATGCTCAGTTTTCTACTCACACCCCCCCCTGTTTAAAATTGGGTTGAGACTTCAGCTTGTCTGAGCTGTTGTGGATTTTAGTTCATTCACATTTGTAAATAAAATCACATCTCACTGAAGAGGAAGCAGGAGGATCAAATGATGCCAATAATCTTCTTTCTTCCTA